CCCCCCCCCCCCCCCCCCCCCCCCCCCCCCCACCCCCCCCCCCCCCCCCCGGCGGCCCGCATCCTTAATCACATGAACTTATTAACATACATTCATGCATCTTCGATGAAAAGATAGAATATATTACGTTGGTGATTATTTTTTCAACAGCAACAGATAGAAGAATATCTATATTCAAAAAACAAAAAATAAAAAAAGTATCGTGCATCCAACGCATCATCTGTCGACTGACGTTTTTGTAAGAATAATAACGATAAAACAGACAATTTTGGAAAAATCAATCTATTTTTTTGTACATAACAGGTTAGTTAAGAGGTTAATAAAGAATAAATGATAACGACGCGACTGCACTAATATACTCATTTCGCTACACACTAATACAGGTAACGGTCGCTGGGAGAGAAAAAGTGTTTGTTGATTATTATTCAGAATTTGTATGTCTAATATAGGACGAAGTATTGAACTATGCTTGATTATACTAGGTTAATAATAAAATGTTCTTTGTTTGTTCAATGTTTCAGATGAAATACATGAAGTATTCTAGACTCGACTAAAATAATGTTTTTTATAAGAAAACATCTGCTGATGCGTTTAATACAAATATTATTGACAGTATTTTGTGGTATTCTATTAGCAAACGGAATATTTGAATATCTGATACTTGGAATATTTGGTTTAGTATTTAATATTCGATCAAAATATGATTCAATACTATTAATTCTGTTGGGCATTCTATTGTCGCTTTTTTCAATATATGCATTAATTGCTATTTGGAAAAATAATATTAAATTATTAATCGTTTCTATAATCATTTTAATTATTCTATTTATATTAACATTAGTTAAAAGTATAACAGAAATAAATGAATTGGGATTACGATTAATAAGAACCGAATGGATTGCCATTCGTATTACAGAATTAGTTTTAAGATTAACTGGTATTAGTACTTTGATGGTTTATATAATTCAATTAAAACAAGATTATTATCTGATTAACTCGTGATGATGAAACATAAGAAACAATAACTGCAGTTTTGATTTGTAAAATCGATTTGTGCACTGTTTTTCTCTCTTCATCATCGGTAAAACAAAAGGTTTTTAATTTAAACCATTTCAACGATTAAGGAGATGTCCGCTTTCCACAAAAAGAAGAAAAAGAAGTTGAAAGAACAATGTTCCAAGTTGCATAGAAAAGTATCTCGCTTTTGTTTTACTGCCACATGTTTCAATAGTAAAAATGACTATTTTTTATTTTGAAAACTGTACACTAAAATTTAGAAAATATGGTACATGTACATCCATAAAAGATGAAGAATCATTGACTCGACCAAAATTCAAACAAGAAAACTAAAAAAATGTCATGTGCTTTTATACATTTGTATTTTATCATTAACGTAATACTTTTTGCTACATTTTCGTAATATTTTAGATGCTGACAGATGCTGAAGATGCTACAAAGTACTTACTTTGTGAACGCTTTCATATGTGATATGAAACAATTGTTATTCGTGTGTAATCTTAAAAAATTTAAATTTATATTTAAAAAGAACTCCTCTGAAATGTCCACACCTTGTTAATGCTGATGCATCAGGTATTCAGTTTCAACCCCTAGTATAAGTTTAGTGAAATGTAGACTTGTCTACTCTACACTCCTCGATATAACTCTCGATATAAACTTTCGTTAGAAATGTGACTCCAACAATCAGAGGCGGCTGTTAGAGGTCTGTGGAACGGTCTCGGTTCTACGCGGCTTTTAAGGGGATCGAGATCAGCTTTTTTTGAAAATAGCTTTGTATAGAGCATAAAAATTTCGTAGTTTCTGTGCTTGTTTGTATGTAGCCACTAGTTCTACGAGAAAAAACTCACACAAAATTCTAAAAGTTCTCAATCGATACCACCCACGCTCCGCATTACAACGCGCTGACTTTCGAAGTACCTGCGCTACTTCGAAAAAATATTTAAGGGACCACGGGACCAGGATCAAAAATGAGTTCTTTCCACGAGACTGGGAACGGACCAAAATGTTTTTTCTTTTTGGTCCCGCAGATCTCTAGCGGCTGTCTCTATTAAATCTACTCTCTAAAACATTTTCATGTCTTATAGAATCAAAAAAGAGATATTTCTATGCTGACATCCCCGTTTTGGAATCTCGTAGTGACAAATGCAAACACTCTCTTTTATTTGGTTATTTAATTTTGTTTCATTACTGAGAAAAGTCATTTTTTGTAGATCAGGAGCGGAAAAATTGGAATTCTGCTCCTAATTCTCGATTTTCTGCATCAGAATTCATTTTTTACAAAATAAAAATATCATATTCGAAATCAACGTCAATAACTGAGTCGAATGACGTGTTCTTTCATTATAGCCGACAACTTTCATTTTTTTCGAATTTTTACGCAGAAAAATTACTGAGATTTTCACTAAAAAATGAAAACCAACGAAAAATTTTGAAATATATATCACTCGACTCAGTTATTGACGCTGATTTCGAATATGATATTTTTATTTTGTAAAAAATGAGTTCTGATAGAGAAAATCGAGAATTACGAACAGAATTACGATTTTTCCGCTCCTGATCTATAAAAAATGATTCAATATACATTATAGATTCAAAAAAATTAATTTCAAAACTTGAAAGTGGAAGCAAAACTTAAATTTTTTGACACTATAGCGATTTTAAACAAAATTGATCTTTTAGAATTTTCTGAAAATTTTCAATCTCAAAAAAAAATTTTCAAAAATGAAAACTAGCCATTTCTTTACTCAGCTGGGTGTTCTAAGTTCCAACGATGTATAAATATATCAGAAAGAAAAAGTTCGAATTACGAATGCCTTACAACAACACTAGAAGATCAAAACAGCGTTTCTTATACACAATAACAATCTTGCGAATATATTAACAATAATAATCCTTGTGTACAACATTTATTTTTTTTTTAATTCATAAATTTTTATTCAAAAATACAACAAATCAAGGTATCCTCCTATTACATACTGTCTAGCAAAACATATCTCAAATGTATTCAACATAATTTATTATAGAAAGGTTATAAATACTTGTTATCTGATCTAATACAGTATCATCGAAATTACTCATTGTTAGAATAATATTGAAAGAACAAACACTTTATTAAAAATATTAAAAAAATTTCATCATATATAGAAATAAAAATTGTTTTAACAAGACAATAATAGGTGATTAGTTTACAGTACTCGATTATCTCTTATTTAAAAAAGGGGAAAATATATAGTGGTCATATTTGGTGAATGAGGAGAACGTTATGAACAATCTTTTTAATGAATCACTCAGTTTTAATTCATCTAATTTTCGATGTAAAAATTCAAAATCAATTTTTTCCTGTAATGATGGTTCATAATACACATGTTCAGTTTTTGTCAATTGATGTAGAAAATATCTTTCCGAATAACAACAGATAAAAACAATTTCTCGAATATCAAATATTTGATTTGATGATATTTCTAGAAAATTAAACAATTCCTCAATATCTTGATGTGTTTTATATGCATTATAATAATCAATAAGAACATCTTTGGCATCCGTCACGTCAAGTGTCTGCTCACGTTGTACTACTTTTCTTATTGATTTTAAAGCCACTTGTTGTCGATTTACTAACGGTTTTCCATATTTCAACAGATATTCTAACATGGTCAATTTTTTAAATTCAGAATAACAAATTGGTAATGAAAATGTAATCGATTGTCCATTAAGAGCAAATGGAGCTTTCGATTTTTCGATTTTTTTCTCTTCAAAACGTGTCTCCTCGTTAAAACGTTCAATTAATTGTTGTGTTTCTTGTGCTTGTTTCATCAATGGTTTCAATTGTTCCATTTGATTAAATGTACCCTTTCTCGTAAAATTATCGTAATCTTTTTTCATATCAGATATCAAACCAAAGTAGCCTCCGGGTGTGGCTCGTACATCTTTGTCTTTTAAATCTTTCATTTGTTGAATTCGTAACTCATGTTGTTGTGTATTTTTAGGTTTTTTTGATTTTCGTTGGTTTTCAGATTTAATGGGTTCGAATACAGTAGAAACTAACTGAGATTGAGATACTTTTGATAATAATTCTGATTTTATTGATGATACCTGCAAATTTAATTTGTTGTGTACAACAGTATTTTGTTGTTGTTGAGATGTTTTCGTAGAACTATTTTTTGTCGTTAATTTCATGTCAACTGTTTCTTCATCATCAACAGTTGTTTTAACTGAAACGTCTTTAAATGATGCCGTCCGTTGAACGAGAGAATTGATTTGATGATTGATACTTCTCATAGACGATCATTTACTTAAGTTAATAGTTTGTTGATCTATACAAGATTGCTTGACGACTATTTTTAATTAAAAAATAGAAGATCATTCGTATTCGATAGAGACACTCAATGAAAATTAGTAAATTATAAATTTACATTAACTCATGATAACTTGTTCGAACACAACATATTTCAGTATTCATTGTTGTTCGACTTTATGTCGTTTCGGTTGGATATTTACAGGCATATAGTATATTTGTTTCCTTAGTGATTAGATACTATATATCCAGTGGAAGAAGAGAAATATAAGATCTCAGAAAATCTAATATTTTTTATCTCTACAACAATTTTTTTTTTTTGATAAATTATGTGGAAATTATCACTTTCAAAGATTCTTTTAATCGCTTCTAATTTGGTTTGATTCAAAAAAGCTACACTTTCATCAATTCAGATTTCTGCTATTATTAATGTTTATGCAAAAATATGGCGCCTGATTTTAATGGATAGATACAAATCGTATTATAATGATGAAATTAAGATATTATGCCAGAATATATCAAGATATCCTACGTATACTTGATTTTGGTGAGGATGAAATCATGGTGTCTGAAGAATTACGGCTAGTAGATAAACTGTGAGATTCAGCTCTGTCTCGTTCATGGTGAATACGTTTGAAGAAGAGAATACTTTTTATATCGATAGATCGATACAGTTTATGAGTACGTATCATTGGGAAGGACACAATGTAAGTGAATGAAAGAACGTGGATAAAAAAGATAAACCAAATGATAAAAATTATTGTTACTAAAAATAAAGAGGCAGAAAGAATACACTTTGAACTTATCGGACTACTTACTATTCATTTTAAAATTGAGTGTACGTGAATGGTTTTTGAATAACTGTTGAACGAAAAGAGATAGAAACAAGTCAATAGGTAAGTCCTTGGGGAAACCATATGACGCTCGAACCATGGTAGATGGACATTTGGGACTGATCTGGTTGTGTAGGTCGAAGTCCGGTGGTTCGAACTACCCTCTTAGAAATCAAAATTCATCTTTTTTTCGACAAATAGTGATCACCTAGATTTTCATCCGAAAGTTATACCGTGGTAGATCTCTCATCTGATCTTGGTTTTTTCATAGTTCGATTTTTCATAGTGTTCTTCACAAAATGCTAAAAATCCCTTGTTTCTATCCCATTTTGTTCAAAATTTATTCAAAAAACATCCACGTACATTCTATTTTGCAATGAATAGTCATTTGTGCACTACCTTACACTTCTTTCCTTTTAAAAATTATCGTCTTTAGTTTTCTGTTTCAATGACTGTGGTAGACTATTAAGGCTATACCTTCTTACAATTAATATTTATCTTATCCTTTATATGATATGTTTTAGAGCCAAAATAAAGTTCTGTCTAGTATCATTATGTCAGATTTGAAATGCTTTAAATATAAGGTGAACATGAGACATCTACATGAATAAAAGTCAAGCCGTCATATAGGATTAATGGATATTTTTGAATAATATATAAGGACTTTAATTGTACAAATTTTTGATAGGTGAAGGTCGCTTAAGATTTCTCTTATTAAGCGCCAATAGAAAAACTGTCTCTCCATAACCCTTTTCTATTCAACTTAAAGCTTTGAAAACTGAATATTTATTTATTCAAATCGTTACTAGTTATATTTTTAACATTCATTTAATTTTTAAAATTTGAAGTGACTGCAATTTTTCCAGCGAGCTCGATTTTTCAAGAGAACTTTCCAATTAGGATCAGAAAGGATTTATAGTACCATATTTTTCCTCAATTACAACTCATTGATTAGTCTAAATTACCACTGTAGGATTAATGAGCTAAGATTGACTAATTACCTAATGGTACTTGCTCTATCAATAATAAATTCAAAATGTAACTAAACCAAATTAGATCTCAACAGCGTCTATCAGAGATCTATTCAAGAAAATGTATGACGCTGTAAAATGATTATTCAAGAATAAGTACGTCATTAATCAAAATAAACTAGATAATGTACTCTCGTTTATCAATTGAACGTGATATATACAGAATTTGACGTATAAAGCGCGGTCGTATATTCAAAATTTTTTCTGTTGTTGCTAAGACAATTTTTTTCAAAAGAATAATTTATTTTTTCTACTGTTTTGGTACTGTCTGCGACTATTTTTCAAATAAAATCATAAATATGAATTAATATGTGATATATTCTCTCATTATGGATGTATTTTTTCATCAATGACCATAGAAGAAGAATTGACAAAATTTATTTTTTTATTTTTAAAACATATGAGTATTGAATTAAGCAATTTACGAATATTAACAAATAGTCGTCGACCAGCAGGAAAAAGTATATTAAGAAAATCAAATATTTTTCGTGATTATATTCAACAAAAGTGTATAAATCAAAACAATGATCGATCACTTACTATTAATAACAATAAACGAAAAGTATTTTTTACACACGTTGACTCGTATAATTTTGATCCATACGCCATTTTACCATATAGTATAATTGGACTACCACAACGACAAAAATTTTATACAAATAAGAGTAGTCATATACAATGTTTATGTCATCATCATACATCAAATGTTTCAGTATTGAACAATAATAGTTTCACTCAAGTAAAATTAAAACGTCATTTTAAAAAGTTTAATGTTAAAAGAAGAACAACTTTATAAATATTCACATGTATTTTGATTTGAGATATGTATAGAAATATTATTATATACATAGATGATCATATACGAAATATTGTGTAAATGTGTAAGTAATTCTAAATTCAATAATAATGAAAATTCTCATTATATATTTGAAAATATGGTGAATATAAATCACCTTTCTCATGTATATAGAATGAAATGGAAAATACAAAACACCAAAATCGTCACCAAAAAGATCATTCAAGTAAGACTATAAATGGAAAATATCAATCTGTTGATACATCATTAACCAGTTTTCCAACAACAACAAGTTCTAT